ATGTGAGTTTATTGTTGTCTGTAAATAATGGTTGGATGAATGAATGAATATATATTTTTTACTTTTATTTACAGGTAGTCTCGTTGAGTCACGAGGCCCCACCCCCCAAGAGAGACATCAGTGTTTCCCCTACCATTATACAAGCGGGGTGCCCCTCCCCATCAACAGAACCGAGCGCCCCGTCTACCGAACCCCACCCCCAACCACCTGTCGGCACTGACGTAATGCTAAACTAGCGGCTCACAATGCAGGTGCACTAGCTAAAAAGTTAAGGCAGCCTCTTCCTTCATGTTGAACCCTCACGCTGAACGCACCCCTGCCACTCGAAAACTGTCGGTACAAACAGCGCACGGCTCAGATGTGCGTCTGCCCCCCCCCCCCCCGACCAAAAAACTAAACAAAAAACTGATACTTGTTAGCCCTTAAAAAAAATTTAAAAAATCCATAAATTATCCACAACATTGTATAAGTTGCGGTGTTCAAAGTGTGTGAAAAAAGTAGTGGCTTATAGTCCGGAAATTACGGTATCAGTTTTTAACGGCTCACCTGTCTGTTCAGAACCGCCTCTCTGGTAATGAAGGTAGGTGACTTTTCCAGCCCGGCTGCAGGGTTTGGACCGCGGGCTGAGGTTGGAGAAGGTCAGGCTCCGGTGCTGCTCCACTGTCGTCAGCTGGAAGCTTTTGGAGCAGAAGAAGAGCAGCGTGTTGAGCAGCACAATGGGCGAGTACGCGCCCAGCTGCTTGCACTCCCACAGGTAGGACTCCTCGATCCGAGAGGGGACCACGCCACCTGCAGGAGGAAGACACGAACGATTCAAAGAGGGGTTTGGATTCACAAAATCCAAACCTCAAAGTCGATGACGGTACCGCTCGGCAGCAGCTTGGGTTTCCAGAGTCGAAGCATCCCGCTGATCTCACTGGAGAAGTGGCTGTACAGCTGGTCTGTAAAGATGTTTTCTATCCGGCCATTCTCAAATAGGTACTGCTCAAAAAGAACGAGACCGGGTCGTTACTCTCCCGAGCAGCAGAAACGTCACCACAAAGCAGAATTTTATGCACCTCTTGTATCCCCAGACAGAGGTAGAAGATGCTGTCGGGGCTGTACGTTTCTCCGTTTGGCCGTCGGACCTCTCTGACGAAGCGAGACAGAGCGACGCTCAGCTCAGCCGAGTCACACTGAAGGATGTCTTCTTTAACGGAGGCTCCTCCGGCTGCAGGAGGGCAAGAGTGTAAGAACACATGTCTGACGCCCAGCGGATGAAACAAAGAACAAAACGACATTCAGCTCACATTGTTGCATCTGCTGGACCCATTTTGTCCAGGCCTTGAGCCCGTACAGGTGGTTCAGTTTGGAGTTGGTGGGAGTCCCTAAAACTGCGGTGGTACCGATTCTCCTCCGACCCTGCAGGGGCAGACAGTAAAAACATTACTGCTTCTGAAACTGAAGCACTGAGACACTTGTAAAAACATTATCGTCCATCCAACTACTAAATGCATTATATTTGTTTTTAAGCATTAAAATAGATTTAAAGGAGTGTACATAACAAAGTCTGACTAAAACTACAGTAATGTTTGTTGTAAACAAGATGCATGAGGAATGTGAGTTTAGATCAATGTGAGAAGTCTCGTACTCGTTTCCGGCTGTAGGAACGGTCTCTGGGTCTCTTCACACCTCGCTTCTGAACCGGCGGCTTCATGTTCAACAGCTCTGCGAAAACAATGAGTCCTTCTGCGTTTGTTTTTTTACTTCCCATCAAGTTTTTTATTATTTCTAGGTAACTTTAAAAATTAAGTGTGAATCTGACAAAAAATTAGTTAATAAAAAACACAAATAAACTTGGTTCTTCTTCTCACCAGGAGGGAAGTCGGCCTCCAGGTCCATCAGAGGTGATAATGGAGCCTGATCCAAGCTGGCGGCAGGAGGATCGGTTCCCGTTTCACTCGCCTCGGTTGGGTTTTCTGTCTGAGAACCTCCAGTCTGAGGAAGGTCGGCTGCTTCATGAGCCTCCTCATCCTCACAGACCGAGTGAGAGACCACTTCGGGTTTTGTGCCTTCAGTAGAACCTCTCTGGTCTGCAGCAGAAACACGTTCAACGTTGGATCATAGATAAAATAAAAACTTTATGTTGCTTCTTTCAAACTTTCACCTTCGGCAGACACAGATTTATTTCCCCGTTCTTCTTCCTCTGCAGCAGAAGTCTCCCACTGGACCGCCACGTCCTTCAACTCTTTCATCTGTGGCAGCAAGGCAGGAGTCTCCAACTGGACCGCCACGTCCTTCACCTCTTTCTTCTGCAGAGGCACGGCAGGAGTCTCCAACTGGACCGCCACATCCTTCATCTCTTTCGTCTGTGGCGGTACAACAATCGGTACCGGAACCTGGAGAAGGGAAGGTTATCCTGCTGCATCACATTTAAAAACAAACTGAGGGCAACGTGATGGGACTTACAGGCACGTGTATCACCATGGGAACAGGCGTGTGCTGGGAGTACATGTTCATAGGCACCGGGATAAAGACTGGGACTGGTACCGGTACTGGAACCATACACATCTTCACGTTGTCTTCCTTGGCTGTGACTGAAAGTTGGAAAAAAAAAACCACAAACTGATTCTGGACATATTTAAAGCTTATATCTCACTAAATATTTTGTTGTTGTTTTGAAGTGGTTAAAAACCAAATAATCATTTAGAATATCATATATATATTGTATACAGGTTTTTAAAAAAAAAAAAAAACTTAATACGTTTAAATGCTCTGAGGAGTTAAAGACAGAATGGTTTTGACTGTGTTAGCTTATGTCTGTTAGACACTAGACATTAGATGAAACTTTCAGGAAACAATCATTGGGTGTACATCTCTACAACTCTTTAACTTTTGGAGACAACTCTGTTCAAGATGGCCACCACAGCCAACTGATTTGAAGAAACACAAACATGGTTGTAACTCAACCAGTTTTAACAACTATTGAGCTAAAGTTTGGTGTGGTAGTAGATGAGTTATCCCCAACACATACTCTTGAGCATGAAAACATCTAACAATTTTAAAAGAGATTGTGTGTGATGACCAAATGATTGTATTTTATAACGCATTATGGTTTAATTCCATTCCATCTCAGCATGAGATGATCTTAGTTTAAAACTCTAGCATGAACAGTGGCAGGTGACATGCATACCTTATTGATTGAAATGTTATTCCTTATTCATGCAATAATGTCACTTTAAGTCAACATATAGTTTATATTTCCCCCATTAGGGGCTGCAGTGGTTAAATGCAGCAGCCTTGTAATCGTGAGGTGGCCGTTTTGAACCCAGGTTGTGCCAGAAAGGGCATCCGCTGTAAAACAATTGTGAAATACATGCAAGTCCGTTGCTTAAGCAACACCTGCAATAAATGTTTTTTTTTTTTTTTTAAACACAGTGAAGCTAAGACCACAGCATTGGTTGATTCTCTAGTTATCTCTCAGATCGGAGGCAATGTATTCAACATAGCAGTACTTATTCCAGCTATCTGTCAACAATGGTGTACCACAAGGCTCAGTCTTGGGACCCACCCTCTTCACAATCTACTTAAGTAATGTAGGTCAGATCATCCCTGATGCATCCATAAATTTCTATGCCGACGACACAGTTGTTTATTGTCGAGCTAGAACAGTTGCTATGATTTTTCAGCTTTTACAGTTGCTTTCGACATCACCCAGTCAGATTTGTTCCGTCTCAAACTTGTGCTAATGCTGACAAAACCAAAGGGATGTTGTTTTCAAACAGGAAGTCAGTACCAGCAGTCCTTCCTTCTACCTTATCTACGAATGATGTTCCTATTGAGTTTGTCAATTCTTACAAATACTTGGGTATCTTGATTGATTTTCATCTCTCTTTTACCTCATGTCGAAAACTTGGTAAAGAAATTGAAAGTAAAATTGGGTTTCATATTAGAAATAGATCCCAACTCTGAATGCTAGGAAACACCTTGTAGCTGCTACTCTCCTTCCCTCCATCGACTATGGTGGAATTACATGAATGCTCCTGCAAGCACCCTGCAGATGTTGGATGCTATCACGGTGCACTAAGATTCATAACTGGTTAACTATCGTACCCATCACTGCACCCTGTATTCACTGGTTAACTTCACGCACTCTCACTGGTACATTTGCATCTTTACATCACTTCTTGGTCTGTTGCCTTGATAGATCTCCTATATGTAATTTCTGCAGTGCAGCTACAGCGTGCGTTCTCAAGACATCACTCCTACTCCACTCCTGTAACACCTTGCACAAAGATCTGAAGCTCTTGACTTTGATCGCTCTATAAGGGATTTTAAACTGCTAAGTTCATGGCAAAAACCAATGCAGACATGTTCCTGTTTTTAGCATTTTACATCGCTTTATGATGTTTCATTTTTTATATAATTTATTTTATTTACTTTTCATTTTATATGCTTTTATGATTGTCTATTGTTGTCTGTACCTCATCTGTGTTCTGTTTAAAACAGGTCTCTCTTGTAAATGAGTCCTCACGACTCAATGTGACTAACCTGTCTAAAGGTTGAATGAAAAAAGTAACTGTGCAGAAACTTTAGCATCCGAGTAACAAAATAAAATACAAACTCACGATTATTTTTTTCAAATAGTTTATTACCAAGTTAACAATGGTATAAAAAAGTGCAAATTATGCACAGAGATAACAAATTCAGAGGTATATTAAAAAACTGGACTCATCTTCTATTCAACTCGAGGTGGTCCAAAGACACAAAGAGAACCTTGATCCACGAGGACCTTAATGCAAATGTCACATTCAAACAAGAACTAAATTTTGCCATTGTATGGAAACATACAATTATGACAACACATAGCACTTTACTGTTTAAACAAATGTTCATGTGACTCAGGTAGCTCAAGATGTTTCAAGTCACTGCAGGTCTCAGGTGAAAATAAAGATGTCCAAATACAAAACTGCTCACCTGGTCAATAAAACTCAAATCGCAAAACCTAAACTCTGCACCGATTATTTCACCAAACGTCTTTAATCCACAAAGTGTCATCTTTAAACGCTTTAAAAGTTCTGCATAGAGCGATTTACAAAAACATAGTGAGTCACTATGACGTTCTAACCTACAGCATAGTATAAAAAAAAAATCTACAGATAGTGTTTTATAAAGATTTCCTATGAAATAGCATTAACTTCATACAGACATAATTCAAACACACATTCAGTTATCCATGGCTTAAAATAAAAATATGAAATTTGTTGGAAAAAAAAAACATTCTTTGACAATGAATAGTTTGGTGAGGAGGAAGCTGCTTCAAACATGTTTTTGTGCAGCAAAGGTCTGCACCAGATGCCTAAAGTCTAAAAACATGAGCAGTTCAGTGCGAGATGGTTGACCATCATCGGCTTCATTGACGTTTGCGCAACCTGAGACTTTCATTCTTGGAATACTATTTTTATAAGATGTTACGTAGTGGTATAGTCTATGCAATATGTGGGTATACGGAGTATACCCACTAGAAAAGCTTAAGAATTTCAGTATACCCACTTAAAAGTGCCCAATGATACATGACATACCATTAGGCACATGTCATTGATACATTAAACAGCAACTAAATGCTTACGTAACAATCTATCAGTATGCAGCGCTTGTTTATTACGTTCACTTCCAGCAAATTATTGGATAATTCTGTATTTACTACTTAATACTTGAACATGTTTCGCTTTGATAGTTTTATAAATTCTATAACATGTTTTTAATACAAAGCCAACTGTTGTACAAAGTTTGTTGTATATTTATTCAGAGAATAAGAGACATTTGGAAATGTTCAATATGCTTAAAAATCAAAATAAATTAACAATTTCATTGTACTAACCAGTGTACTTTGGTTTCTAAGCACAGTATACCCAGTACAAAAATGTAGACTAAACCACTGATGTTACGGTACATTCGAGCCATGGTAAAGTATTCCAGCCTTAAAGAAAAGTACAAAAATATAGCGAGGAACACAAATCTGTTACAAATACAGCAAAACAAATTTGGCAATAAATAAGCACAGAAAGTTGGTTGAGTTTAAAGATCGTCTGTTGTTCCTACAAGTCAACTGTGACTGTGGTCCAACTGGAACAGTGAGAGCAATTCCTTTCTTTTTGCTGTAGATTCAAGTTGGACATCAGAAGACGATTAAGAGACGAGAGAGCAACGTTTTACAGCTTTTATTTCCAGTTTGTTCACGTCCGGATTGGACACACAACTTCAGAGGTGTTACACAAACACCACAGAAAACCCTAAAACAGGTCTATTTAGCAGGCAGCCCGCAGGCCACATATTTTTTTTACATTTCTGTAGCCCACATGAAGCTGCACTGATTTGTCTAAATATGATGCTAAAACTATAAAAACATCAGCGCTACTTCCATACCTTGAGCCTCACGTGAAGTCTGCCTCCGTCAAACAGAAAATGACGAGTGGAAATCGGTTGTTTAATCATTACGACCTGTGCAAAATGCTGCAGCGTGAACATTTAGCAGCAAACGTGGCCCTGAGTAAATTCATAATGTCTCTTTCAAAGCCAAAATAAAGCTTCAGTTTAACAGTTTGAAAGCCAGTGTACTAAAAGGTATGTTTTTACTTTTAGAGTTTAATGTTGTGTTTAAAAATAAGAGAGCAGTAGCTGCTTCGGTCAAATCTTGATCTCATGCAACGCCTACAGAAGTTCATTTTATTTGCTAAAGAGGAGATTTAAGAGAGTAATTCACTTTACTTAAATCTATTTGTCCCAGTACCTTTGCACACCTAAGAATTTGGTATTCTACTCTCAACTATGGATGTGGAAATAAAAGCTGAAACGTTGGAGCCTCACTGTTAAGAGGAGCGTGAATGTGAAATACAGACTGAGTAGTGTTGGAACGAGCTCAAACATTTTAACGGTGGTTTGTATCCGCCGTCACGTCTTCCTGAAACACCGGATCAGGTGGCTGTGGAGAGAAAAACCGGGTGACAAACTCAACCCTCAAAAGAAGTCAGTAAAAATTTCAACCAATCAACATATCTATTTTGATAAATATGTTAATAAAATGATTTATAAATGTACAGTTAAGAGGCGGCTCACCTTGTGCTTCCAGTGCAGGAGCTGTTTTGTAGATGAGCTGCGTGTGGTAGCGTTCAAAACACGGCACGGGACAGAGGCCGGGCTCCTCTGAACACGTCTTACAGTAATACGACGTTGGCATCGTGCCACAGTCTGTTTCGGACTCCTCATTGGTTAGCTCCTCGCTGACAGAATCCTCCTCCTCTTCCTTCTTCCGCTCCAGATCACAGATCATCTTCCATTTCTTCCGATCTGCCTCTTCTTCCAGCCTCCTCCTCCTCTTACGCCGTGAGCACACTTCGCAGCTGGAGTCGCTCTCCCTCTTGCCCAGGAAATGGCGCCCGGCTAGGCGCGCCGGCAGGTCGCTAAGCGGCGGAGGATTCGAACACCGCAGCGAAGAGGTGGGTGGCTGGTCGAACTGCGAGGAGCTATCTAGCAGAGCTGATGCAATCGTTAAAACAACTAATGGTGAGCAACAAAAATAAAAATGAATAAATACATTAAATAAAAAGATGAGTGTTGTGATAATCTACTGAAGGAAGCATCAGTTATGGCTTTCAAATTTAAAAAAGGGGCTTTTAGTGCCATCGTTTCTTTTTTAAGGAACTATCGCTTAGCTGTGAGCAGTCAGTATCTTACCTGCAGTAAACAGAAATCAGAACAATCTTTTTCACCCTCTAGGGCAGCACAAACTCAAAACTTTCCAGATAGTTTTAAATATTTTTGTTCGTATCTCGTCACTTTTGCATGCGACAGTGGTTTAATATCTTTGTGTGTTTGTGTGTATTTTATCCAAGTATCACATGAACCACTTCATGGATTTGAATTAAACTTTCAGGAAATAATCATTATCTATCATGTATAACGGATTAATTTTTGGAGTCAAACCGATGACGGTTGACACAGCCGACTGACGTTAAAAATGGTTAAAATAAATATAACTGAAAATTTTACAGCTATTAACCTAAAATTTGGCGTGAGTCTTTCAATGCATACTCCCTAGTCCTAAGATACTGTCTGCTGCAGGTAAGATACTGACTGCTCATAACTACAGAATGCTACAAATGAACTGCACTTGAATGTTTCCTGCATATTCTATAAAAATCCTGGCATTTTGTTTGTCAGTGACACACTTATATGAATAAATAATATAATATTCTTATAAAACATAAAAATATTGGACTGAACAAGTGAATACATAAAATAAAAATAAAAAAACTACATTTTTAAAGAAACATATTTTATTAACCTAATGTCAAATCAACATAAGTCACGTTAGTGTGTTAAACGTGGAAAAATGTAGCAGTGATTATGAAATCAGCTGGAAGAAATTAAATAAAATCTGTTCTACATTTAGCCAATCCCATGTTTCCGACATTACCAAAATACTTAAGGTTATATATATATAAGGTTTTATATATAAGCTAATGTAAAGGTATTAACAGAAAGCAGCTTCAAATTCAACGCTTTTAATTGAAATGTTTGTTTTAAAACAATGTGAGCGAAAACAGACGCAGGTTATTATTTGGGATAAAACAAAGGAGGATTAGTTTGTTTAATACGTTCAGTTTGATCTTTCAGATGAACAGAAACCAAAATAACCATAATTTCATGCATAAATCAGAAAGCAGGACGTGTCTCATTCAGATGAACAGAAAATATTTTTTTTCTGGAAGGGGCTTTATCGCTTCGCCCTGTTCGCGCAGCAGAAAAACATTTAAGCTGAAAAAAGAGCAGATTTTAGAGCCGTTGGGTCTAATCAGCTAATAAACATTAAAAGTTGTGGCTGTAAAGACAAAAAAACACCTGCTTCACGTTTTCTGGTCAGGAAGCAGAGTTAAAACTCAACTCCATCGTGTCAAAGTGGTTCTTGTAGTTACCTTCTGTTTCAGGGGAGGGTGAGGGCAGCTGGCACATGCTCTCCTGGTCCGTGGTGAAGGGTCGGCACAGAACCGACTTGTTCTTCATCTGACGGCGAGGCGCAGGAACACGCATGGCGTCGGTCTGAGTACTGGCCTGGCCCAAAAGATGAACATTGAACAACCAAAGGTCTGACGTTATGATGCATGAAGAAATAATCCAACATGTGAACAACAGTTTAAGGAGGAAACGTTGTGCTTTCTTTTTGATCAGTCACGGTGGCATATACATGATTTTACAGCCTGGTCAGATACAGATTTTTTTTTACTTGTGCTTTGATCGGAAAAAACCTTAACTAAAAAAAAGGGGTGATTTCTTTTAAGACTGCTCCAATTAACTTTTTTTTTAAAGGGTGACATTCGTGTAATGACAGAAAACTAGAAAATGTTTGAAGGGTGCCAACGCAGCTGCTGACCAAAATCCTGCCATAAACTTTGCATTAATCTAACCTATTTAAAATATGTATACTGTATATTTAGATGTACGAACTGTACAGGAAGAGTAAAGTTCATGTTAAAGCTGCAGCCGGTGGCTTATTATGGTCACAATGGTAACCACAAACCTGTGTCTTTCACTCCCTGACAGCAAGCCTGAGAGAGGCAGACAGAAAAAAAAACTGAAAATTAAGCCTCAAATAAATAATTGCTGTGCAAAAACTACAAGTCGTACCTTACAAACTGTTGAACCGTGATGCTGATAATCGCACGTGATTTTTACATTTCTACAAATTTTTAAAACGAGCCTTCGCTTTCTGTTTTGAAGAGAATAATTTGTGCTAAAATATAACAATCTACAAAAACTTTTTGTGTGCGCTCTCTGGATTCTGGGAGAATCTGAGAGAAAACCGTCAGTCCAAGGACGACAGAAGAGACACATTGGGCAATAGAGGACAAAAATCCCCACTTTTTGATGTATAAGTTGCTTAATTAGACTTTGTTGGTAATGGTTTTTATTTTATTTATTTATTTTATTTTTATTAAAACCTTAGATCGCAGCATCACCCACTGTCAGCTGAACATTCCACAGAAAAATCTCCAAGTCATAAAACTTAAATAGTGATTGTGTATAAATCATAAAACATCAGTTCAGTCACGTAAAGTTCAACTCGCAGTGACCCGTTTAAACACGAATGACGTTTCTACTGTGAAATATGTTTGAGCTGTAGAGCTCAGAAGAAGGCTGGGTTTTCGGTTTCACCAAAATCCCATTGATCACCAGTTTTTTGCAAATTGTGTAGACCTAAAATTGTTCTTGTGCAAATCTTTACTGATTCTCTGATTTTTTTTGTTCTGTAAAAAATATGCCCTGCAACTTAGCAAAAATTATACATTAAACAACACAGTATAACGAAATATTTGTAAAAAATATATATACCATGTATATGTACAGGAAGAGAAGTAGACACTTAGAAGGAAAACACAAACACACAGGCACCAAAACATACATGGTCAAGATTCTTGCCGTCTATGTTTGAAGTTGGAAGAGCTCCTAAAAAAAAGGAATAAAAATATATTAGAAATGTGTTATAAACTGAAAAAAAAACTAACAGTCACAGCTAATTTAATTCATTTTGACAGCAAAGATAAGGTAGCAATAAAGTGCAAAATAAGCTTTATGTAAAACGTTTCCTACGTGCAGAAAATGGCAACTCGAACACGAGGCTAACAGAACTAACCGGTCAGCGCGGCATCCGCCGAGACGCTGGGCTGAGCAGCAGAACCGTTGGCTAAAGAAACCACGTCGGCTATGACAGGATTCATCTTCAACGAGTGGTGGGGCTGCGTCGGAGCTGGACGAAGAGTAAAAACCCGTCACGTAAAGATACGAACAGTAGAACTTGCCGATGTGGATTTTGACCATAAATATTCACCGCTGGGCATGTGTGGGGCTCCAGAGCCGTTACTGCTCGTGAGTTGGCTCGTCTCGAAGTTTGCGTAGCAGTACTGCAGCAGGCAGGGCATGTTGCAGAAGTTACGCACCGAACCCAAACACTGCAGCTTCTCGGTCAAGTAGCCCTGTTTCCTGCAGCTGTCGCACCGACCCATCTGCACGGGACAAGAAGAGAAACAGCAAAGTTCAACACATTTGATGGAGTTATCCATCACTAATATTAGCCTGGAGTTATAAGCATTACATAAGGTGTTCCTCGAGGATATAGTGACATGACAAACATTTAATCATAACGTAATGCAGTGTAAATCCTTCTGGTTACCCCGTAGTATAGGACAGTGAACTGGGACATGCAGTGGGGTTTGCAGAACTTCTCGGTCTTGCCTCCGTAGTGACTGAGCACCATCTTCTGGCCGAGGCCTGCACAGTATGTGCACACGCGGCAGGAGTGGTCTTGTTTAAAGAGCAGCTTACAGTCTGGAGCAAACAAAACCGTTCTGTGTTAATCTTTCAAACATTCTGCACAACACTGTGTCAAAAACAGGGAATGAAGACTGACGATTCACACTTATTTCTCTGAACACTTTTTCTAGTCTAACTGCTTCTGCATACGTTGTGCTACAAAACGTTCAGCCCTACCAGCAGATTAGTGATGTGACTTTTGGTTTATGTAACGTTTAGCTTAGCTTACAGCTAACCTTTTGCTACTTTTACTGTAGCTTGGAGCTACCATTACAGCAACATTTAGCTACCTTTTAAGTACTTTTAGATTTAGAATGGCCTCTTAGCTTCTATTGTGCAACTTTTAAAGAACCAAGAATAGAATAAAGAATCAATAAAGAATCTTTGACTCAAGCCATTTTCTAGTTTTAGGTTTGAGTTACCCTTTGCAACTTTTTGCTAACATTTTGTATATTTTAGCTACTTTAGGCTACTTTTTAACTTTTAAATTAAACCTATTGATACATTTTGCTTTCAGCTAGCCTTTTGCTGCATTTAGCCTTTAGTTAGCTTTTGATATATTTAGCATTTAGCTAGTCTTTTGTCATATTTAGCTTTTCGCTAACCTGTTGCTAGTTTTAGCTAGCCTGCTATTTTAGCTAACTTTTTGCTACTTTTCACTATTGTTTTGCAAATTTTAGATTCTAGTAATTGCTTAACTTAATTTCTTTTAGCAAACCTATTGCTGCATTTAGCTCTTAGCTAGCATTTTGCTACTTTTAGCTGTAACAACTCAGCTTTAGCTTCTTATGTAAATTCCAGCAGCCTCAATTATCACTCTGTGTTTGCATTTTCACAGAAAACGAACGTTTTCCCAGTTTTAACGTACTTTCACTGCAGAAGAACAGGTCCTTCTGGTCGGAGTTGACAGTTTCAAACAGCACCTTCTCCTGCTGGCACAACTCACACACAGCAAGGATGCTTTTCTGGGTTTTGTACTGATCAGAACACGACCTACTGCAGAATATAGAGATGCGACTCTGTGGATTAAATAATTAGTGTGATTAGTCTATCAGCAGACTCAACAATGTTCAGCGACTGACATGGATTTTTATTTTTTTTACCTGGTGGCTCAGCAGCAGCGGCTTGGTGTTGAACAGTTTGCTGCAATGATGGCAGGTCACTTTAGGGGTGTTATCGAGTCTGTCCTCTGCTGGCTTGGGCTGATCTGGGGGAGATCTGGCCTGGGATTGTGTTGGGACAGTAGGGGAGGACGTGGCCGAAGAGGGAGGCACTAGAGGGGGCACTGAGGTATGACTGGGATGGTGGCCTGGGTATGGGACTGAAGAAGAGAAATCCTGAGGAACAGGAGGGACTGAGCTGGTTCCGGCTGAGGGTCCCGGCTTTGGAACGTCTTTGTTGGAAGGGTCCCTGAGAGAGGAGGTTCCATTGGTCGGGTTGAGCTGAGACGTGTAATCAGACTTCTGCAAGATAATGATATAAAAATAGGGATTAAAGCAGAAAATCTTTCGACTTGATTTGTTTTCTACATCTAGAGGTTACCCAAGCACACAGTATACTGATGTGTACAAGACCTTGGGGAAAGTGCACAGTGTAGTGTTCTTTAATGAAACGTTGAGGTTGTAAGACTTTAACCTGCATCATCAAGATCATCATTCTGAAGAAAGAGATGGTTTCGAACAATTTTTCTGTTGTTTACTTTTGTCATTTCAGTGTTTTAATTTCAGGGGTTGTCAGATATATTTAAAATAAATTAGCGCAGGAAGTCCTTTGCAGAGTAAAAATCAACTTTTTTTTCCCTTCCAAACAGATTTATTCCTTGAAATTATTATTTAACTCAAAGGTATTATATTTACAGGATTTCAGTTCATGTAGTCATTTAATATTATTTATTTTTCATATATTATCATTTATTAAATTATCACTGTAGTTACCTCTTATGTTAATGTGTTACGTGTTAATTATCACTGTAGTTACCTCTCATTGTGATTCTAAATATAATCAAGATTAACTCATCCAAACAGCCACAAAACTTTGTAAGTGCTAGAAATTTTTTAAAATATTTATGCTAAACTATAAACACCTGAAACTGATTCTCAGAGAGATATTTGTGAGTTAAGGGGATAAATAAAAGTTAAACAGAGACACATCTCTGCTATAATCTGGGGCATAAATATTCGTCTTTTAGCCTTAATATATTATCATGTACAAAAACTTGGATTTAAAGTAAAAAAAATACAAGTACTTGACAGGATTTTTAAAATGTGACCGACCCTGAATGTAGACACGCAGGTGTAGGAGCAGAAGTTTCTTATGGTGCCGTCCACCATGGCCAGATGATACTGAGGAACGGCTGAAACGTTGCACAAGCAGCACGGGAACGGAGTACCTACAAAAACAACAACAATAAACACAAACTCAGCCGCCTTCAGGATGGAAAACCTGAACCTCCATTTTGAACATTTATAGCATCGTACCAACAAGACCATGCTGGGCCGGCCGGGTCTGCGCCACACAACTAGACGAGCAGTACAGCTGAACTTTGCCCTTCTGGTCTCGCTCCATGATGGTGGAGAACACCATCAGGGCCTTTTGACAGTTGGCACACTCGGTCGACTTCCTGCAGGACTGCACAAAAGGAGTTTTGCACTTTTATAATCCACGTAAATAATTTTGACCAAAACCAGAACAAATGTGGTCTGATTGGGAAGGTTTTGATCCTAACCACAACTAAAATATCACTGTCTTTTATACATTAAGGTCAATACATATTGCAGTATGTACCAAGGAGGACCAAGTTTTATCTCAGTGTTGATCAATCTGGTGGATTTATTTTAAAAAGTGTCAAAAACCAGAAGGTCGTACCTGTTTATAGGTGTCGACGCAGGTGGGGCTGCAGAAGTAAAGCTGGGATCTGTCGACTGTGAGTGTCTGACAGGAACCCGAGTTGCTGTTACAGTAGAGCCCGCAGCCTTCGCAGCAGTTCATGGCCAGCTGACGCTGCTTACGCCACTTTACAAAGCAGGTATCACTGCAGAGTTTGTAAAGTTTTCCCTGATGGGTAACCTCGTGCTCGATCACCTACAGAAATAGGACAAAAAATAAAGAAAGAAAAAGACACATTAGCTCGTCAGTCCAATCGAAATTATAACTTTTTCTACAAAGTGAGCTCGCTTAAAGGGATGTCTACAACAGGTAAGATATTAATTGGTCATAACCTTTTAACAGAACCAAATTTAAAAGATCTGAACTACCCCTTTCAACTTAAAGCACCAAAAGCTGATGCCTTACCTTGTTGGAGGCCTTACAGATGCTGCAGAAGAGTTGATTCTCCAGCAGTTTTTCAGGTGGCTTTTCTGGCTTCTTTTCCAGTCGCTTATCTGCCGTTTTATCAGGAGCTTTGTCGATTAGTTTCCTCTTGTGTCTGAACACGGACAGACAGAACTGGCCACAAAAGTGCATGTATGTGTTGTTGTCAGCTGGGATAGTGACCATATCTCTGGGCTGAAGGATCTCCCTGCAAAGAGAAGAACGTGAAAAATTGGGTGTCTGACTCCAGCGTGAAATTCAAGCGGTGGAGAAGATGTACCTGTTGCACTGGAAGCAGGCCCGGGGCTTGTTGACTGCAGGAAGGTGACCCGTCAGACAAACCGTGGAGCAGAAGAGCTGTGTCGACCCTTTTCTCTGGAACGCCGTTTGGCCTTTCAATAGAACCTACAACAAATCAAAATAACATCAAATAGGAATTATCTACATCCCAAACTACAAACAGTGCATTTTAAAAGGACATATTGTAACAAAAATGGCATTACTCCATGATTAAGAGCAAATACTTGTTTATCAGAAACTCAAAATATTCAACCCTGTCACTTATTTTGGTCCCACTGACTTGAAATATCTCAGTTAGGAAGTGGTTTAGATTTTCAAACAAAAGAAAAATACAACTTCTTGAGCTTCAGGCAAAAAATAGACCCCATATCTGCTTTACTTGCTAATCATGCTGCCTTCGCTGTACCTTTAAAAAGTGGGAATTCCAAACACTTTGGCACAAATTCTAAGAACATCTTATTTCCAATAAAAATTACTTCTTCTTGTTATATTAATCTGTATTTTTTTTCTAGCTGAAAATTTGATTTATTTTTTTTTGTCCTTGAATGGATCATTATCAAGTGTCCAAAAAGAGAAAATCTACCGGTAAAGTCTTCATGATCTAAACTTTGTCCTCTAGACAACCATTCTTAAAGTTAGCAATAAAAATAAAAACAGAGGACTCATGGAAAAAAAAATCAAAGTATATAAAGTCAATAGGTGATGGAAAAATAAAAATGAAATGGTGAATTAACCATCCACTTCATCTTTTGTCAGCATCTGTATCTAAAGTTTGGTGTTTTAACAACCTGGCCTAATTTGATACTTAAAAATGAAATGTTAAAATCAAAGACAAACTGCAAAAAAAACAAAACAAAACCTGGATATTTGGAAATACAATTCCATATTTATCCATTTTCTATAGTCTGAGCTCAGTTTGGTGTCAGGCTGAATACTGTCAGCAGCCTGCAAAGGTAAGAGTAATGTGTGTTTATATACATATATAAATGTAAAAATACACAACTACAGAAGTGTCATAGAAGTGACTAACTTCTATAATTTTGTATCACAACTCAGAAAATCACCTCAGCTTGTGAAAAAAGGGACAATTTAAACTAAACCTAAGTAATGATGGTATATTACGTTTTGACATCAAAATAAAATTATTTATTTTACTTTTAGGCAGCCACTGCAGCGAACACTGCCAGGAACAGGGGGTGGTGGAGGTCGTAGTTGTGGTATCGCTGTCAGCGTGTGTATTGAAGATGGGACTGGAAGTTGGGGTCTAACAGAAAGGGGCGCCATGGCTTGCAGGATCGCTCCTCTGCCCGGAATAAAGAAAGCCGTCTGAGTCGTACCTTGGATAGCAGTTGGCACTTCAATGAACAAGGGGGGAAAGTCAGTAAAGTTAGTTTTTTTATCCACTTTTATGTCTGTACATATATAACAAACCCAAAATGAATATTTCTACTTGTTTTGCACTGCAGCCCCATGTTCATTCTAACTCATTTTGCCAACACGGCTCGCAATTATTTAATCTAGAGGAAGATTATATTTAGTACACAGTCAATGACAATGAATGAACTCACTGGCTGGAGACGTGAAGGTGTTTACTCCTCCTACAGAGTAGACTGAGCTGATTCTCAGCTCCTCCTGCAAGACAAAACCAGCTAAATTTATTTTGAACCTTAACAAGAGAAATTTAATTAGGAAAACTTGATGCATATTTGGTACATGTACATTATTTACAACAGTAAATAACAGCACTGTATTTATCTTATGCAGTTGATGCACTTTGGCTGTTCAGGATATTCCAAAAAATCAGAATAAAATTGAAAATAGTAGTGTCAAAACAACTCTGTTTACGTTAGAGAATGGTACACAACGTGGGCAGCTTCAGTTGGAATAAATCAAATTTTTTTTGGTGGGACTATTTGAGATTACATCACTGAGCATAAACATAAAATCTTCCTCTTTTCACACCGACCTGCTCCAACTCTTCTTTAATCTGCCTGGTGGAGCTCTGAGGAAGCAGCGCAGCATCGTAGCCCTCATCGATCGGCTCATCTTTGATGTTCACAGCGGGACATATTGGGGGGTTACTTTCTTCCACTGGAGCAGCTTCAGGCATCTGAAACGAAGCACCGTCATGAACACCTGTCATGAAGTGATTAATTTTCTGTGTTCAGACCCTCACCTTGTCTAGCTGGCTGTCCTCAGTCTCCTCCGTCTGGTTCAGAACGTCTGATTTGGGATAGAGAAGTTCTTATTTCAGTTACAATGATACACAAGTGGCACAAGATTTTATTTTCCTCATACAGCTCTTCCAGCTCACACACCACTAACGGTAGAAAAAAAAAGGTGGCTATATCAAAAAAAGTATTATTTATTTATAATAAGGATGATTTTAGGATAAATAGACAGTTTAGAGAACTGATGATGAAAACATGAGAAGACAGGGAGAACAAAACAACTTGTGTAAATATTAAAATGTCATTATGCTGCTTTTTCTTGTTTATCAAACCTACATTCGATGGCGCCATAAAGTAAAAACGTTGTGAGCAGAGAGTCTGTTTAGAAGGTCTAAATTCAATAATTAAAAGGGTGATAAATCAGTGACATTTTTTTTTTTTTATTTCCTCATGCTACCCCACCGCTAAACTTGGGGCGTCCTTTTGGCTCAAAGACACAAAGTGGGTTAGAGGTAAAAATGTTCCCTTACAAAATGCTTATATTCAGAGTTTTACTTTGTGTAGTACTCCTCCGCATTTGAAGTGTTACCTAGAAAAATCTGTTTGAAGAAATAGACCTACCTGTTCAGCCTCCCTTCACATCACTAGCCATGAGAATGATCATACAAAGTGTAAACAACGACACAAAAATGGCCGTACCTCAGACGGTGTAACAGATATTCTGCTATAAATTGGTGTGTGTGCCACAAAATGACGAAGATATAAAAGTGTGAATCAAATACTCATTCATCTCTGTTTTGCGTCAAGTAATTCATTCAAAGTTTTACCTCTGCTGTTGTCTGGTGTGTTGTCCTCTGAAGAGTCGAAGGTCTTGACGGAATCCCCACTCCCTTCCTTCTCCTGCCTCTGCTCCTCCTCCTCTTCATTGTCTCGAGGTTTACGAGCAAGAGTGTTACATCGGGAACCGCTATTCTCAGGTCTAAACTTGCCCGTTTTGGTGTTCGCTTTCCCCAAATCGACGTCCTCCAAGGAGCCCATCGGCAGAGCAAAGTGCCAGTCTTCATCTTCCTCCTCTGGTCCATACTGAGGAAGCCCATCCAGGGCATCATCAAACGCTGCCTCGCCACCTCCTCTCTTTATATTAAACGGAGAGAGCTGGTCAGAGGATGAAGCAGCAAGACGAGGAAAGGTCTCTCCAAGCCCCTCATCGGTCTTTTCTTCCCGTCTGCTGCAGTTGCTATCTTCTGTCAGTTTTTGCCCCGAAGTTTCCTCTAGTCCTTTTGCTTCGGCCTGACCACCGCTCTTTGAGGAGGAGACAGAACCCCTGGAGGAGTCCGCGAAATTCCCCAGCCCCATCACTTCATCAAACATCCGTGACATCTGCTCCTCGTGCTGGATAGGAAAGAAAGATTAGTTAAAAATGAGTTTCTCATATCTGCGGTTAACGTGACATTAGATTAAAAACGTGTAAGCAAAATTAGCAACTGAACGCCAACCACCATGTGTTTCTTTACCTACAGAAACAGACAGAGATTGAAAAATAGGTCAGATGTTAAACTTACGGGTCCACCAGGGGCCTTATGTATGAGTGTGCAGCTTTCATACAGAAAGTTGACGTACTGATCTGCTGGCGGCGCACTTCTAAGGCTGAAGCCTTTCCAGCTTTATGCATCCATCCATTATCTTTACCTACTTCTTCCTTTTCGGGTTGCAGGGGTCACTGGTGTCCATAACTTTATGCGTGTGTTTAATAACATAAATACTGTAAACACAGAGGCACTAAAGAGTTTGATGGAATTTTAGAATTGTTTTATTTTTTACTCCTTTTACGTGTGAATGAATAGCTAGTTCAGGCTGTCAGCAGCAAACTGGTTAATCCACTGTGAAAAGGGGCTATTTATAAGACTGAGTTTGTTGCATCTCCTCAGACTGAAGAAGTCTTTTAGATAAAAGACGAAATGTTTCAACAAAGAAGAATCTGTCCAGAGGACCTGACTTAACCTTGTTAGATTTTTCTACCTAGATTACTGAGCATGCATCAGATTAATTCAGTTGGATTGGTTGTTGTGGTGTGCCTGGATCATAAACTGGCCTTGGTGTTCAGTTCTTCTCCAGATGGAGACACCATCTTCACCCCCTTTTATGAGTTCTTAATGAATTAAGTCATTTTTCTGAACCTCCTGGTGTGTGCGCAGTGAATACTTGAAATTTTCTGAATGGGTGACCCATGAAATTTATTACAGAACCTAATCAGATATAAGCTTTTGTTTTAGGAGTTAACTTCCTAACTATAATAAAATGATTTATCAAATACCTTTTTATGCAAGCAATAACAAGCTTAAAGTTTGCTGATTGGTTGAAAATCTGTGGCCACTGAAGCTTTGTGAATGCTGTTGGTTTGTAATGGATCCGGGCCTCATGTGGTTCCAACAATTATGTTTAAGACGCGTCCCACCAAACTCAATGCAAAATTAATCAATTTGTTACTTTACGTGTATTTACTGTTAAAATTGTGTAAATCGACAAGGAAAAATATATATATTGCGATTAGAACAACGTATCCGCTGTACGTTTTTAATCAAACAAAGGCGAAGAAAGGAGAAGATAAACTGGAATAAAATCAGATTTTTTTTTTTTATTGTTCACACAGCAGCAGTTAGCAATGCTTGTTAAAGCGGTAGTTAACTGCAGCATAAAGTTTAATTATTATGTTTACAAAGGTGTATATATAACTACAATGGAAAGCTTTATTTACATGGGGTTTCACTTTTTTTTTTAAACTAAATGATAAGATGTTAAACGGGACAACCGTAGCGGCATGCAGCAAGCTACAAAGCTGCTAACTATGCTAGCGTCAATGAGCAGCTCTCGACCGGAAGCTGACAACAACTACATACCAAAATACGAAACTGTGTCAGTTTAGTTTGCATTTGACTGCTGCTAAAGACATATTTTTTCCCCATTCTTGTTGTAAATATCTTACCTTTAAACGTTTAAGTCTAAATTCCTCCGAGTCGGCCATGTTTTAATTATGCTGCAGTCGCCGCGCTCCCAGACGCCCACCTCCAGCGAGGGTAGCACAAATCGGTACAACACCGGGTCAAGCAGCCGGAGCAACAATGATGCTCAACTTCATCCCTGGAGATGTCGCCTCCTAAATTTGTTTCATAAACACTAAATTACCCTAAATGTTTTACTTTATACCTATGTTTTTTTGTCTTCGCATAATTAGAAAAGCAACTAACTGGAGCATTACCGTAACTTTAGATTAGGTTCTTCTCGTTTCGGTTTTTCTTTGTTTGTAGTTGTAATGTCAGCGATGTCCACCTGCTTTGGTAAAATCAGCAACTTGTATCATGCAAGCAAAGTCTTGTAATAATATATTTAACGAAGCGCACTTACGTGAACTCAAAACGTTCTCAGATGAAACCCTTGACCACCTTGGTTTATATTTAGGTTATTACGGTATTAGACGATTCAGTTACTGACTACAGCGCGGGTGACAAGACGGATGGGCGGAGTTTATGGTGTACCACGTGACAAATGAAAACAAAAGCCAAGGGCCGACCGTGATGAATAACAACAAATATGATAAACTGCAGGCTCTATGAAACAGAGGCTATTTTTGGTTTATATTTAGCTGAACTTTCCCCTGGTTGTAAACATTGCAGCAGTAACAAAAATGTGTGATACCCCTCCTGTCCAGCAGGTGGCAGAAGTAACATATCATGTTTGTACCGTAAGTTTTAGTGAATGTCAAAAAAAAAAATCCTGTTGTCGGAGTGGAACGTAAAGAGTAAAACTATTTCTGAAACACAATCTATGGTTAAATATTGCTTAGCAAAAACACATTAAATACAAGCTGCATAACTACTGAATTGTCATAAATTCCAAGCCCTTGCGGTAAAACAGATGGACCAGAAAAGATGCCTGTGCGCACTTCTTTTAAAACTTACGGTACATGAGGTTTTTTAGATATAGAGATTTGAAAACTAGAACAAACACGCCCGGAATCATCAATGAAAGTAGAGTCTATTTAGCTGTATTTCTTTGTTCGACAAGACCGGAACCTTTCATCCCAGGCTCTTCGTCGTCGGGAAGAAGAAAAGAGGAGGAGTTCGTCTGTTGACATTTTGTAGACATTAATTGCTGCACATTGAATAGTATTTACCTCCTTTTGTTGGCAGGTAGTTTGCTCCACGTAAGGTTAGCGGAGCTGCGGAACATTTTCCCCGGCGGGGAGCTGTGGTAATGACGGCAGTGAGGGTGGCCGCAGCTACAGCGGGGGCCTCGGCGTCTTTGTCCCGCTTCAGAGGCGCCCTGGTCGGGGCCGTGCTCGGGGACTGCGTCGGTGGAGAGTTCGAAGGAGCGGAGGAGGTTCCGATGGAGAGCGTGGTGCAACATCTGAACAGCCTGGACGATGAAACTAAAAGAAACGGTTCGTGAACGAAAAGCTGATCCTTTGTTGTTGTTGTTTTTGTTGTTGTTTTTAATTAGCAAAGCAGCTGGGGGGGGGGGGGGGGACTTCGAGCATAAATCTTTGTCAGCACTCTTAAAAATGCATAATTCAGACAAGCTATTTAAATTTAAACCTATATTAATACCAAAATAACCAAACATGTATCTAAGTAATGTCTTAAAATGTGATTAATTTAATATTTAGCTAAATTAAAATTTATTTAAATCCCTCATTGGAGTCAGGGACTAATCAGAAATAAAATGTACTGTGATAATATTATTTTTGAAAAACTTATAAACTTTTTTTTACAGTTGAGAAAGTAAGTGAACATATTTTAAAATCTTAAAGCTGTATTGTTGCACAACCTACTTTAAAAAACACTGGCTTCATGGAATATCATAATATATATATGAATATGTATGCGTGTAGATGTATGTGTGTATATATATGTATGTATATGTGTATATACATACTGTGTATGTGTGTGTGTATATATATATATATATATATATATATATATAATGTGTGATTAAGCCAGTGAGTGTTGCTACTTGACAAATACTCCTGTGTAACATTAGTTCACCATGATGAGATGCAACATTTGAGTTGCAATATTCTCTGTTTGTCAGGAATCCTTGAATACAGCGACGACACTGCCATGACACGCTGTGTGGTCCAGTCTCTCCTTGGCCGGGCTGGATTTGATGAGCGGGACATGGCTCGCAGGTAGGCAAACGGTCACGTCTGACAGTTTTTATCCCCTCTGCAGATTTCAGGCCTAACATCGGAGACGTCTTTCCATGTTTCTCAATTCTGTAGGTTTGCGAAGGAGTACAGTGCCTCCCCGAGCCGTGGTTATGGTTCTGGAGTGGTCCAGGTGTTGAAGAAGCTCTCCTCCCCCCAGTTAAAAGATGTGTATCAACCAGCAAGAGATCAGTTTAATGGCCGGGGCTCTTTTGGGAATGGAGGGGCTATGAGAGCAGCCCCCTTTGCTCTGGCTTTTCCTGACTTGACTGATGTTAAGAAGGTAAGAGGTCGTTTTAACGCAGCATTAAAAACAAATCACTGATATGAGAGAAAATTTGAACATGTTGATTGCCATTGTAGAATTTGGGTGATTTTTAATAATAGCGTTCTATTTCGTATAAGCTTCGCTCTTTAAGGCTGTCGCTGATGGTTTATCCCGTTATGTGAAGCATTACACTGAGCGTTTTCTTTATTTTTTCCTACAGTTTGCCCATTTTGGTGCCATGCTGACACACTCCTGCTCTCTGGGTTATAATGGTGCGATGCTGCAGGCCTTAGCTGTCCACCTTTCCCTGCAGGGGGCACTAGATTTGCCCCAACAGTTCATAAACAGGCTTATCACAGAGATGGAGGAGGTGGAGGGTGATGAAGCTGCACTTCGTGATGCCAGAATGTGAGGTTTTTTATGGTTAAAGCATTATTTGTGGCTCCATTTTTCGTATGTCCAGAATTTTAAGCCTATTGTCAGAGGGGGGAAAAAACTAACTTGTTTCTTTCCAGCCTAAAGGAAGCAGAGAAGCCATACTGCGAGCGTCTTCACAGAATTAGAGATCTGATGGACCGAAGTAAGGTCAGCATAGAGGAAGTCATCGCTGAACTTGGTCAGTAATTGTTTCACGTTTTCCTCACATTTTGTTCGAGTTTCTGTCTTTTCCTGTAATATGTGTCAATTTGATGAATGTCTGCTAGTCTGTAGAGTCCGAGTTAAAAGAAACTTCTAATTAGCTGCAGATCAAAATGTCTCTGCGTGAAATTAAACAGGTCCTCAACCCAGAGCAAAGTTAACTTTGAAGCTCATAGTGACTGAAAAGTGTTTATTTGAATTTTGACACAAAATTTAAATTTTATTAATATTTAGCTCCTCCCTACAAAATCCCTCTTCAGTTTGTTCTGATTTCTTCTTTTCTTATCACCAAAATTCTTGTTTTTCCTGCAGGAAACGGCATTGCAGCGCTGCACTCCGTTCCCACCGCCATCTTCTGCGTCCTCCACTGTCTCCAGCCTCGGGAATGCCTTCCAGAGGGCTACGGTGGCCTGGAGAGGACGATAGCATACAGCTTGGCCCTGGGAGGGGACACAGACACCATAGCCTGCATGGCCGGGGCAATCGCAGGGGCCCATTATGGCATTGAAGCCATCCCTCAGTCGTGGATCAGATGCTGCGAGGGGGCAGAGGACGCTGACGTAAGCGGCGGGCTGCTCCACACACTCTACCACCGTACGCCACAAGAGGACAAGAGTGTGACACAGAGACAGAGCTGCGAGGACAAATCTGAAAACGGTTCAGAGAAGAAAACTGGTTGATGCCTCCAACGGATTTAAACAAAAAGACTCTCACGGAGGCACGTGGACATTTTCAGATTCAGAGTTTTGTTTTTGTTTGTTCAAAGGGTCATTTTTGGAGGTTTACTGTTTATCCAAACTGTTCAACACACGTGAAAACCAAACTAACAAAATCTAAAAGTTTGATTAAAGAATCTGACACATCCGATACGTTTCCGTGACTTCAAACAGAAACCCTAAAAAGTACCGTGTACCCTGCCTTGTTGCTGTCATCTGTCTTGTGATTAAAAAAGAAAAGTCTTAAAATATCTTGCACTATCAATTGACCATATATGTTTTATCCTTATGGTGGTTATTAAAATCTTTTAAATTCACATCTCCCTGTTTTCGTTTCTCAGTTTTGTAGAAATGCCTTTATTTTAAAACCTAGACAAGACAAAATATAAAGTTAAATTTGTGTGTGAAGATTTCTCTAAATGATCATTTATTTTAAGCACATTAAAAACACTCAAAACATCCAAGTAAAAACAGAAAAACACTTTTAAATAGTACTAAAAGAACCACAGTACTTAAATATTATTTATGCAGTGTTAATAAAAAAAAGTTTAGTGTCTAAAATAATTAAAATATTACATTTTGATTGATCCAAAAGCCTTTACAAAACCAAGAAAAGTCTTGTTTTTTTCTTTGTGAATTTTAACTTTTTGTCATAGTCCCTTAAATTTCCTTATTGAAAAAATATTTTCAACTGAATGTAGTGAGCCAAGTGGCTCAGTGAAAGTGAAACCCCAGTATTTTAATATTTTTGTTTTAATTAAATGAGCAACCATTAAAAAAAAAGTCTAAATTCAGTGCTTTGTTCAGGAGTGGGGAGAAAATGAAAGATTTCCTGTTTGTCTTTGAACAAATATTACAAAAGGAAATTATAAATGTTAATTTTCTTTGAAATCAGCTAAAATATCTTAAATTTGAACAGCTTTTTAAATAAAATATCTAAATCTAACAAAAACTTAAGTGCGTCTGTGCACACAGTCCATATAAAAGGTTCTGAAACCAGTTTTCCAGCCAGATTCTGATTTTCTGCACCACGTTGCAGATGTTACAAGTTTTTCTCTGCCGGGGCAACCTCCAAAAAGAGCTGCAGGAACACGGTCAGTCTGCTCAGCAGTCCGGGGCAGAGCTTGTAATGGATGAAGGGAACGTAGATTATCGCTCCGCTTAAGATAAATAAAGTCACGTAAAGATATTCAATCTGAGGGTCGTCTATGATCGGTGCCAGCACGAGAAATACTGCAGCAATGAGGACCAGGATGGGGAGGATTATCGGGACCTGTGGAGAGAGACGGAAGTGATGAGACACAACCTGGTGTGCAGATTTGATCAAACCGTCACAAAATAAAATTCAGTGGTACTGACGCTGAATGGCCTGGGAAGCTCCGGCTTCTTAATTTTGAGATAGATGAGCCCAGACAGAGTGATGGCGTAGAAGAACCAGGCTGTGAAGCTGACAACAGTGACGCAGTAACGAGTCAAACACAAAACTTTAAATATATATACAAACAACGCAGAGGTGAAATGCACCTGAAGAAGTTGATGATGCTCTGAAAGTCTCCGGGGATCAGCACCACCAATGAGACAATCGTGGTGAAGATGAGCGCTGGAGAAGGAGTCAGCCGGTGGACGTGGGCCATGGACAGAATATCTGGCTGCAGAACAAACACAGATCTGCTTAAAGCTGGGCAAAAGCTTCAGTTAAGGGTTTCACTTCCATCAAGTTTGCTGCTTTCACAATCCCCAGATTTGAGGAAATCATGCAAATTATACCTTAAAATGTAAAGTATTTTACATTTTTTACAGTTTACAATTTACAATTTTCTATCATATCCTGTCAAAGCAAATTTTTCTCCCTAAAACCTGAAGTCTTTTTAACTGGGCAGATCTCCTACATAAAACACTGTAGAACAGTCGTTCCCAATCCTGGACCTCAAGGGCCACTATCCTGCATGTTTTATATCAGTGGTCCCCAAACCTGGACCTCAAGGGCCACTATCCTGCATGTTTTATATCAGTGGTCCCCAA